GTGCAAAAGAATTGCCCATGCAACAGGTTCAAGTTGATCATGCGGATTTGCCCAGTTGACCAAGAGAAAGCTGCTTGGTTTAAAAGTGACTTGTGTGAGGTGTAGGCCTACTCCATACATTTTGCTTGAAAAATTTCACCGAAATTTCCCTAATGTTACCGCACCGGTGCTTCATACATCACTACACTTATTGACATTTTTTGCCCACCCAAATTTTGCCTAATTAAGACCACCTGGAATTGATTGGATCGTAGGAAGTTTGTCCTAGGTAACCAAATGGAGGCAGATCTGAATGCCAGTTTGCTGTTAGTTGGAGGATATTTATTATATTTATATTATATATTTATAAGATGGGGATTTAGCCCCATCTTCCACCGAGATATGAGTCATAGAAAACGGATGCCGTTTCAAGAGAGAGGGGAGGTTAATGCTTTTGATTAAAGATTATGAGTCACCTGAATTTTAAAACAATGATGTGCATGGGTAAATATTTAACACTGCAACATTCTGTAAAAGAATAATAATAATAAAGAATTGCCCATTTTGATTTCATGGTGACTTTAAACAAACTGCAACAGCTGTATAATTGTAAAAGGCCAAAATCCATGATTTGTGTTTGGTTGCCTCTGTGCTGAGTCACAGACATTATGTAATCAAGCATCATCATTTAACAGACAAAGCTTTAACTTTGCATTTGCACAACACAGACAAGACCCTTGTCTAAACGTATAGCTTTCTCTCCTTTGTCTCTGTTTTTTCTTTCTCTGATTCTCTCTATCCCCTTCTCCTGGTTTTCTGAATGTTTTGTTCTAAGACAAGTACTAGTTCCAATTTTCCCCAGGCTGCTGGCAGAGTCTTACACAGAACGTTTGTGCAGTGGCATTGAGAAGAATGAGAGGTACATTTGTGTCCTCCCTTTGTGCAGTTCATTTCCATGAGGTCATGGCCTGCCCCTTCACTGCTGTTAGCAGAGCACTGCAACCAGACAGTAACAAGCTCAGAAGCCAGGGTGTCTGACTCAAACTCCCAAATACTTTTATCATTACCATTCACAACACTATATTATTTATGACTGGCATATCTTATATTTATATATATATATATATATATATATATATATATATATATATATATATATATATATATATATATATATATATATATATATATATATATATATATATATATATATATATATGCCATGTTATTTACTCAAACTACCATGGTACATGTCCAAAACACATAAAATAACAACTGTATTCAAGTTAAAGTTAACTTGCTGTAATTCTTTGTTTTTGGTTTTCAAACATCATAAAATCTCAATTTTTAAATAATCTGTACAGGTCTGTTGCTTTCATTACGTTTTTTTTTGTTGTTGTTGTTGTTGTTAATATCAGCAGGGGGCGTCGTTTCATTATACTTGCAGATACGCAGCATCGATCGCTCTAAAACTTTTTTTTTTTTTTTGCTGGTGTCGTCGCTGTTGGATAGTGATAGTCTTATTTTTCGTAATATTTGTTTTGTATTTTACTTAAGATGTCCCTTTTTGCTTCTCGGAGAACAGCGACACTGTCTGTTAAATTTCCATTCATTAATATTTTTGTTGTGTACTTTGCTCTAATAACAGCAGGGGGCGTCCATTCATCGTCATAGCCAGACTAATGTAGCTACTATTAGCATACAAAAACAAGAATTAGCAAAGAATGGTCTAGTACAAGTTTTCACAAGTTACTTTCCATTAATTCAATAGTTGCCCGTTTTAGACAAATCCTTGTGGAATTTCATGATGTATAATGAATGATAGACGTAATGGAAGTCCCCTGTGCAGTGGAAGTCTCTGTGTGGGTGTGAGGAACTGGTGTTTTTCCCAGTTTTAATCCTCAGAGACAGGAACGTTCCCATTGACCCAGAGGCAGGACTTCTTGCTTGTAAGATAAACTCAAGCATGTCCACATTTGTTCAGTGGACCCAGGGCCAGACACACTGAATTATACACTGTGAATTGGATGACCCACTGAACTGAGTCTATTCTAGCTGTCCTATACTTGGTTGATATACAAGAAGTGCTCTAATTAATTTGGCATTCAGGAAGTTGAGTCAGAGGGTAGACCTAACACATAACAGAGAGAAAATATAAACTTGTAGCTGGACTCAAATTGATAAATCAATCAACAAACTAGTAAATCCTCTTTTATCTCTGTTTAAAGAATAGGAAGTTTACACTGTGTTAAATTCATTATGGTGCCTCACTTCCTAAGCTTTTGGTTATTTTTAAAGCACTGTTCTCAAGTATGCAGTTACAGATAACAGACATGAAATGAGTATCCGAATGCAAGTACTCAGGGAATTGCTTGAATGCTGCTGTACAGTGAACAACAATGTGAGATTCACATTTCCTCTTGCTAAAAAAGCTGGAATGTGGAGCTGTCCAGTGCTGAATGTGTCTCCTTTTATACATATAGGCCGGTAATGCTTGCATTTCACACACCTTATATCAAATGAACCACTTAAAGCTGGAAAAAGTGGTTGACAAATGTAAAAAAAAAAAAAAAAAAAAAAAAGACATTCCAGAGCTGAGATGAGACTGATTGGGATTAGACATGTGCCGGTATTCGGTAATGCGATAAATCGCGGTAATGAATATGCACGATATTGTTATCGCGGGGACTTCGAAATACCGTGAAAAATAATAGATCCGAATTTAGATTTTTAGAACGCGCATCAGCTTATTTTCCATCAACCGCTTAAAAAACAATGCGTATGCTGCGCAAAACACGTGCGCACTTTTATGTAAACAATCCCCACATCACATGTATAAGCACTGTGTGCATGCAGTGCGCACTCTAGTCTAATGTAAACAATCCTCACATGGAGAAGAAGCACGGCGGAAGGAGGAACGCTGCCGACTATTTATCCCCCGCATGGCTGCCAACTCTCACGCATTCAGCTTGAGACTCACGCAATTTCACACGGTCTCGCGCCACACATCCATTTTCTCACGCAGAGAAAAATCGCGGAGCAAAGAGGACACTGACACCGACAGACTAGACAGAGCAGGTTACTTTTGATATGAAAAAAATATCAGCTCTCAGGTTTTATAACGAAATTCAGACAATAAATACTGTTTTGGTGCTTGTAAATGTGACGTGACAGATCGCGCGCCTCAGATCAAGTAAACCGATCATCTGTTACTTTTTATTAAAGATACAGTACAACCCACCGAAAGGTACGTACTTTCGCTTAATCAGTGTTTTTCAACCACGGAAAGAGGTCAATAACACTGCAGGAGAACAATTATGTCACAGAACGTTACATTTACCTCAGGAAAGCCATTTAATGTTAGTTGACTATAAGAAAATAGCTATAGAGAGGAGTATTTTGCTAAATATGTGCACTATATTACATATTTTAATATATGTACTTGTCATTATATAATTGTTATTATAATGAAAATTACAGCATATTACATTTTTATATTTATATTATAATTATATTTATATTGTATGCATTATATTTAATTTCTCTCTGTATGTTTACAGCATTATGTGACATATATTTTTTCTTGAGAAACATTTAAATGCAGGCTATCTACTGTAGCCTACCTAATATTTATCCAAATGAGTCAATATTGAATCAAGATTGAAATTAAATCCAAGAATTTAACTGAAATCATGAAAATTGTGTTAAGCAATAATACAAACAGTAGCCTCAGTAACCATGTAAACATTATAACATGTTGTCACTAAAAAATAAAATTAATGTTTTGACAATCACAATTACACATTGTGATGCAAGTTTTTTTTTAGATACCCCCAATCCGTCTGTTTCTCTTGTGCAATTAAAATATCGTGATAATACCGTATACCGTGATAAAAGCTCAATCAATTAATCGCAGCATGAAAATTTGATACCGGCACATGCCTAATTGGGATATAGATAACATTGGATCAGGTTTTGGAAAAGTCATGATTAACAACTGGAGGAAGTGGCCTCCACTTCATAAAGTCCCACAATGCTGATCTCAGTAAGCCATGTATCACAATCAAAGACATTGTTGTGAATTGCATTTTAGTCCAATGACGAAACTAAAACAAGTTGTGCTGAAGACAAAGACAATACGACCACAGTCAAATACTGTTTATTGTTCATCTGGATAGTTAATGATTGTGGTTTTGGTATTATCCAGGCCTCTGGAGAGACAGACATCTGCTTAACCCACAAGCTTCATCAATTGAGACCTTCATAGAAAACAAACGTCCGCGGTACAAGAATACAAAAGGCTTGGGGCTAAAAATGTGGAATGAATGGAATGTTTAAAAACCTTAAAATTACAATAAAAAAAACATGGGTTGGTGCTCATCACCTGCATTGAGCAGAATTGAGAGTGACAGAAATAATTTGGGACTATATGGAGTCATTATATTTTTCAAAAGGACAACACAGTTATGAATCTACTTGTATGGATCTTGCAAATGCTTTTTTTTTTTCTTTCAATGCACTTGATTGTCTTGCGCATTGTGCCATTCTGAATACAATTGTGGATTTCGGGGTTTGAAAAAAATCATATAAGACCAAAATAAACCAGTAAGGTCTGTACCTTGTGTCTCTAATGTACAAGATGTTATCCAAAATAGTGATTTCTAACAACACCCACTGGACAAAGCTGAGCTAAAAGCCTTTCTGCCACTTGGTTTTTACCGGTAACCGAATTAAATTACTATCTCTCAAAACAAAAAAACAAGCACACAATTTCGATTTGAAAATGCATTGATCAATACCATTTAAGCAGTGAGAGAGCCTTAATTCGGTTCAATAATAAATGACAAAAACAGCATGAACACATCATCCATAGAATGGCTGGTGAAAATATTGTAGTGACACTCGTTTACTCAAATAGTGCAAAATGGCTTTGGTGGAATGATTACAAAGTATGCAAAGCAAAACGAACATTTCTCCGACACTAAAAAACCCCCAAAAAATAATCAATACGGTGTTGAAGTTCACATGAAACCTTTGATCACCTTTACAGTCAGGCAAAAAATGTATTAGACAACAATTCATACAATAAGGCCCAACGTTAGTAGTATTGTAGCATAAATGTTCCCCTTAAACACTCCATTAAGCAAATCTTCCATCTTCACAATTAACACTGCTTTTAATGTTTGTTAATACAAAGCTTACATTCATTTGATATTGCTGTATGAGAAAAATAGTGTTGATTCCACAAGCTGATCAAAAAAACAGTGACAATGTATATAAAACCATTAGAAAACCCAGTCAGTCATCAGCTTTGCCATCGCAATTTATAAAAGTTTGTGATTCAAATCTATACAAGCAATAGTAGTGGAATGAACAGATGAAAAGGGAACATGTGGTTTCCCACAGTTCAAGAACAGTGCTGCTCAAATAACCTGAGGATGACAGAAACACATCCGTAAACGTTTCCCTCAGAGATACACGTCCATGGTCTGAAGGATCATGTGGCGGCACAGGGGGCAGTTGTGTTGGTAGATGGGCTGGCTCAGCAGAATGTTGGTGCAGTTTCTACACAAGCACAAGTGACGGCAAGGCAAAAGCACGACAGTCTTGGTGCTGTCCTGACAGATCACGCACTTCTTCCTCTCCTCTTGCTCCTGGAGAAGATTCAGCAGGTTGTCCGCCGGAGGGCCTTTACAACTGTCCTCAGACGGAAACTTCCGGAGCGGCCTGCGAGCGCTGGAGCTTGGAAGCGGCAGGTTTAGAGGATCGTCTGCTTGGTTGGTGTCCTCAGGAGCGTCTTCCACCACCGGATCTGCTGCGTTTAGGTCAATTTGAGGCTCAAGGTTGTGCTCAGGCTGTCTAACGTCCCTTTCCGCAGCTTCTCTCCTTGCAGGAATCACCAGGAGGCCTATCCGACTACGATGCCAGGCCAATCTCTGCCACACGTTCCTCTCGAGGACGTAGAGGCGGTGTAGAGCTCTTCTGAGTCGCTGCAGGACTGGCACAGTGTTGATGTAGTTGATTATGTGCAAAGATACCCGTCTTGGGAGCGCTGGATTCAGGTATATGGTGGTACTCGTGATGATGACAAACGTGAGCAGCAGCCCGTAAGAGTTTAGCAAGAACACGCTCATGAAGATCTGGCAGACAGATCCCAGGAACTCCATGGCTAGTCTGCATGGTGTCCACAGCAGGATGGAGGTGCCAACGAGACTGCTGTACAGGAAGGTCAGCACAGTCAGGGTCAGCTCAAGAGCTTTCTGCAAAGGGCAGGACACTGCCTCCACAGTGCTGGCCAACACAGAGTATAAATTTTGCGTACCAATGAGAAGTAAGTTAATGATCGTGTTGACGAAATAAAGCAACAGGCTGAACACGATGCCACAGCCTTCCCACGCCTGCCGTAGCAAACTGTGTCCCGACAGCAAACCGCGGTGAAGAAGCTCTTTGGTGCGCAGTAGCAGATGTGAAGACAGGTATCCGATCATCTTGAAGCTTTCCAGCATGCCTCCGAGCAGCTGCGTCCAGCCTCCGACCATGTTATGGGTCACGACGGTCACTCCGTCCCGCATGGTGATGATGCAAAGCAGAGTGAGATTCCAGCACTCAGACACTGAATTTGTGAGTAGCATGGGCAGACTACTGACAAAGGAGATCACTGCCACCAACAGCTGAATTAATGAGTTGACAATTACAAAATTTAAATCCAGAAGGAGGCAAATGACATCTATGCATTTTCCAACTGAACTAAAAATCAAGCTCAGTAGACCCATAATAAGGATATCTGCTTGTGAAATGTCACCTTAGTTCGCCGTAATGGACTATATATCATCTGTCATATTATTTGTGCTGTCAAACGACATAGTTCATTGTCTGTGCGTACACAAACAAACAGCTTTGGTAGCCAAGTTAGCTCGCGTGCTAACCCATTCGCGTCTTAACGTGTCGTCTTGGCAAACCGCTTAAGATTTAAATAAAAGCAATTCCAGTCGTATTAAAACTGAGCATTAGCTGGGAATGACGTGTCCTCTGGTTTGGAAAGATACACTCATCCTAAACATGGTTAGCATATCACCGTGAAGTAGCTGCTCACACATGGACGGAAACTGCTCGGCGGATGTTTACGTTTGAAAAATGAAACTGCTCATGTCGGCTGGTTGTACAGATCTGTATCCCAAGCTAATGTTGATTCTTAGAACATGTTGTAATCCAAGCGTCCGCACTATTTTATGAAGCTCCAAGACGACGACAAACCCAGACGCTTCTTTCTTTGGATTATTCTTGTGCTAGAATCGAAAGCGTTTCTCTCTGTTTTAGTCCGTTGTTTCCGCTTTACTACACGTAAAGTTATTTGAAGTGGATCAACTCTGCGCTCGGGCTGTGCAGAAACGCGGCTGCACTTATTATTAAATACCTACTTACCACCTTCATTTTCTTTACCTTTCTGGTTATTTCATGCATGATCTGATTATATTGCAGATAAAATAGTTTCTGGCGAAATTATAGACTTTAGAAAAGTACATAATTCGTGATGATAGATAGTTAAAACGAATAAATCATTATCTTTGCTCGTTACAAGCAGTTGTATTGTATTGACTGCTTGAGTAAATCACTGGTTTTATTACAGGCATTTGGCTTTTGTCCCTGGACATGTGCACTTTGCACTTTGTTGCCATTTTAAACGTTTTCATTGTTTTGATTTAAATTCTCAAGGTCTGTGTTTCCATATCAGTAATTTTGTGTGTTGTTTTAAACATCTAGATTAAAACTGTTCAAACTTGAATGTTTTTTCCAAATTCAAGTTTTACAGACTAAAATTTCACATTTCAAATTTCATCATATTGCCATAGAAAGTTGTCATGTGTGTTTTAAATGTTATAAATATTGATAAAACAGGCATATAGGTTAATATAGCCAAATAAATAAATGTTTGACTTTTTTTTTTGTGCTGATTCATGAATTGTTTTGTCTGTCAAGCTTGTTTTCCTGTTAGCTGATCCTAATCTGTTTGCTTACCGACCATACAGTGTGACAACGTGCCCCACTATCAGGATATTTTGTCACAAAATGAGTATTCAGTAAACTATCTTTATTCAAAAACATTCGATATACAGTATGTTTTGTTTATATATATATATATATATATATATACTGTAAATGTACAGTGTATATATATATATATATATATATACTGTTGTTAAATGTGTGACAACTAGTCCCAGTCTCCGCTGAGTTATTTTAAAGTGTTTCAAATAACACAAATTGTTACATATTTGGTTGTTAACACTCCAGCTCAATCATCACAATGTCTGTTCTGTCTTGAAGTGGACTTGATGAGAAAACGTTTATTTGAAATGTCCAGTGAAATAATGATGATCTCATCTGCTCATTTAAATTGGACAAATAAACAAAATTATGATTTCCATTTATGCTAATCAAGATTCAAACCAGAAGAAAATATATGACTGATAATGGCTTATAGAACAAAAGTTGTGGTTTTGCTTGTCAATAGAGAAAGAATAGCCAAATTAGCTAGTGAATTTATAAATGCATCCATTAATATTTAAAGGGGAAAAGACACACTCACACACACACAAATACACAAACACAAACAATTTGACATGTTGGACCCCACCCCATGCAGTTCTGCTGTTCTGCAGGTCAAACACTGTTTAACCTTTGTTAGACATTCTCTGCTGAGGGCCTCTTGGGAAAATAAACTAACGACACTGATATGAGGCCCCTTTTGGAAATAACAAAGCCCTGGAGAATAGATTTCCTTTGACAAATTTCCTTCTTCTAGTGCATAAAGCAAAACATAACTGCCGTATTTTCCATTCCTACAGGCAGGGCCGGTTCTAGACATTTGGAGGCCCTAGGCAATATTCATGTTGGAGGCCCCCCCATCCCCAATAAAAAACTCTTAAAACATATATGATTCCTAACCTTTTAATTTATACAACATTTAATTTTAAATGTTTTTACTTACACAGTACATACGTTTGGACACATTACTATTTTTAATGTTTTTGAAAGAAGTCTCTTGTGCTCATCAAGCCTGGATTTATTTGATCAAAAATACAGAAAAATAATATATAGTGAAATGTTATTAAAATTTAATATAATGGTTTTCCTATTTTACTATACTTTAAAATATATTTCTGTGATGCAAAGCTGAATTTAGTGTCATGTGATCCTTCAGAAAACTTTATAATATTCAGATTTATTATCAAATGTTAGAAATGGTGCTTAATATTTATTTTATAACCTGTGATTCTTTTTTTCAGGTTTTTTTTTTATTATTAAAAAGGTTTTTTTTTTTTTTTTTTTTTTTTTTTTTAGTCTTCACTATCACTTTTTATATATTTAACACATCCTTGCTGAATATTCCTGTTTTTTTTTTTTTTTTTTTTTTTTTTTGATCAAATAAATGCAGGCTTGTAGAGCATAATAAAAAACTTATTTCAAAAACATTAAAAATAGTAATGGGTCCAGACTTTTTACCAGTAGGCTACTGTATGTACATATTAATCAAACTTCATCTAAGGTAATCTCTTTTTTGTTTAATGAAGATTTTATTGTTATTGTTATTTTGCTGTTTTATTCAATTTATTCACAGTTCCAGAATACCACTTCAGTGATCAGGGCCGGTTCTAGACATTTGGAGGCCCTAGGCAATATTCATGTTGGAGGCCCCCCCATCCCCAATAAAAAACTCTTAAAACATATATGATTCCTAACCTTTTAATTTATACAACATTTAATTTTAAATGTTTTTACTTACACAGTACATACGTTTGGACACATTACTATTTTTAATGTTTTTGAAAGAAGTCTCTTGTGCTCATCAAGCCTGGATTTATTTGATCAAAAATACAGAAAAATAATATATAGTGAAATGTTATTAAAATTTAATATAATGGTTTTCCTATTTTACTATACTTTAAAATATATTTCTGTGATGCAAAGCTGAATTTAGTGTCATGTGATCCTTCAGAAAACTTTATAATATTCAGATTTATTATCAAATGTTAGAAATGGTGCTTAATATTTATTTTATAACCTGTGATTCTTTTTTTCAGGTTTTTTTTTTATTATTAAAAAGGTTTTTTTTTTTTTTTTTTTTTTTTTTTTTAGTCTTCACTATCACTTTTTATATATTTAACACATCCTTGCTGAATATTCCTGTTTTTTTTTTTTTTTTTTTTTTTTTTTGATCAAATAAATGCAGGCTTGTAGAGCATAATAAAAAACTTATTTCAAAAACATTAAAAATAGTAATGGGTCCAGACTTTTTACCAGTAGGCTACTGTATGTACATATTAATCAAACTTCATCTAAGGTAATCTCTTTTTTGTTTAATGAAGATTTTATTGTTATTGTTATTTTGCTGTTTTATTCAATTTATTCACAGTTCCAGAATACCACTTCAGTGATATATGCTTTTATAATTTTTTTCATAGCTGGTATGGCCAGGATTTTCCCCTCCCATTTAATCAATATTGACTGCAGATATTGTCATATTATTAATATAAGTAATATGATATTATGCATTGCATTGCTAGCTTAAATTGCTATACACAAATCAAGTGGAAGAGAAAGACACGGTCGCTACTGATTAGAAAAAGAAATTCTAAACTGATATTATTGGCGTAAGTAGGCTGATGTCAGACAGGGTAGCCCTATAATCTAATCATCAGCAGAATTTAGAAGATAGACCCGAGATCCTTTATTTGAAACATTTAAAAATGTTGTAGTGTGTTGGCTTTTTAACTTTGAATACAAACGTCTTGTCTTTTACTTTTGTAGCGTTTTTAGTCAGCTCCCGACGCGATGTTATTCATTGTACGCGCAAATTCAAAGCGTCGCGTCTGGGCACGTTAATGACGCTCGCGCTCTTTTAAACTCGTAATAAAGCGGTGAATGATTTTTCCAGAAATGACGCAGACAGTACAAGTTTATATTTAGAATACATTGCAATCACTCCAAAATAGATGACGACAACGCACACACCTGCATTACGAGCTGTGCTTCTTTGCGTGCTTATTTAGGCTTTTGCTTCGCAGCACGGGCTGGCGTTAATGTGACGTAATGTAACAGTCTATGGTTAAGATAAACATCGTCACTATTTTTAGTTAATTAATAAATATTGAAATAAATTGTAGATAGGACATTTGTAGGTACATTTTTTTTTTTTTTTTTTTTTTTTTTTTTTTGGTCCCTCTGTCTGGGCCCCATCCCGCCAATCGGGCCCTAGGCACGTGCCTAGTTTGCCTTTGCGTTAATCCGGCTCTGCCTACAGGTCACTTCCACACCATTAAACTCGATGACAGTCCTTAAGTGCTCCTGTCTGCTCCTTGCTACCTTGAGCATTAAAAGAAACCTTCTCTCATAAGGGAAACAAAATACTGGTGAATTGATTGCAACAATAGGTCATTTTGTTGATGGCTGTTCTATTGTTTCACTGACCCATGCCTTAAGAAAACATGTATTTCCTGTTATGTGACGACAGCTGTTGGATTCTGTTCAGACCAACAACATGGAAAAGTAGTTTTGAAAAGATGTGTGTTTCTTAGCACACATTTTGTTGTATTGAAGTTTTCCTTGTCCACAAAATATTCTTGAAAATTTGATGGGTAGGACAATTCATAAACACTTTGTCACAACTTAATTACATTACATGCAGTCGTTTTGGAAATGGAACTTAATTTAATCCCATTGTGTTAAGACTACTTTAATCATGTTTTTTGACAAGTGAAACTGAACAGTGGAATTAGCAGCATGATTTGCATGGGACTGGAGTGGGAGAGTAAATGTGTTATTTTGCATATGTTTTAGTAAAGGGAAATATTTGTTAGTGTTTTAGGTTCATTTATGTTGAAAATGAAGGAACATTTGTTATGTTGTAGTTTTTGTGGTTACCTTTGTGGAGAAGAGTGTAGCTTAGCTTGTGGGCTAATCAATATTGACTATAAAAAAAAAGCTTTAGCTGTACAGCTTTAGCAGTCCCTGTTAGCTTGCTACCATGTGCCATTGTTAGTTAGCAATTAACTGGAAGAGCTTC